ATATATATATATATATATATATATATATATATATATATATATATATATATATATATATATATATATATATATTTATATATATATGTTTTAATAAATAAATAAATTCAAATTCCCAAACAAAGTTTGTGTAAGTTTTCTCACACCCAACAAACAAAAACTCAAACTCTCGGAGCCACACATTTAGTTAGAACTATCTACCAGTGGTTGGGGACACGGTGTGAGACAAGAGTTTCGCCAATCGGGAAAGTGTTCATTTTGTTGTTGTTTTTTTTTAAATAAGATTTCATGGACTTGCAATGCCAACGGTAACGAAGGTTTGACAAGAATCGATCACAAGTGCGGCGATAAGATTGGCTCATAGCAGCGGTACCTCAACCTGTGGGTCGCGACCCCTTTCGGGGGATCGAACGACCCTAAAACAGGGGTCGCCTAAGACCTTCGGAAAGAAAACACTTATTTATGAAGTAGCAACGGAAATAATTGTATGGTTGTGGGGTCACTACAACATGAGGAAATTTATTAAAGGGTCGCGGCTTTCGGAAGGTTTAGGACCACTGGTTTATAGCATTACGGTGCTCTGGTGTCTTGGTCCATCGGCCGTGGTAACAATTCAGGACAACGGAGTCGGATTGCGTGGTGGGGTTAAGTGTTTTTTTTTTTTTTTTTTTTTGAAAACCCAACCCATAGGTTTGATTGCTGAGGTGATCCTCTATTCGGAGGGGTTCGAATCCTCGCGAATTCTCGCCAAGAAGATGGTCCAGATGTACAAACTCTGCAGTGAGCAGTTATCGCAACAGGACCACTACGACTTTGGTAAGTATGGACTACTTTATTTTGTTTTTAAAAGAAATATTGATTACATATTTTTATTTATTTATTCATTTTGCTAAAAATTGTAAATGAACTTACATACATGATATAAAAACAGAATAATCTTTAAGGTATAATATTAAAGGTATAATCGTTGAGGTATAATCTTTAAAAACTTTAATGTATAATCTTTAAGATTTGGTATTTTGATGTTTGGCCCATATTCATATTCATTTCTGAATTATTTGAAAGATTTAACAATTTACGAAGATCGAGCCCAGGTGTTTGAAAAGCTCTTTGGGTTATATCATCCATCCGACCAGGTATGCGAGCGGTGAAATCTGTGCTTGTCATGGCCGGATCACTCAAGCGTCAAAACCCGGATAAATCTGAAGACGTCGTGCTCATCCGGGCACTGCGAGACAGCAACCTCCCCAAGTTCCTCACACACGACGCCAGGCTGTTTCAGGTAAGGGCAGATCAGCGGCTCTCAACGTGGGGCCCCCACAGGTCCACAGCATATTTCAACGGGACACACACAATTTTGAAGGAAAAAAAATGCAGCAGTTTTTTTTTAAATCGTAAACGGAGGTAGACAAATCTCAAAATGGGGCACCAGTAACAACAAACAAATTATATAGTTTGAGAAACGCTCGTCTGGATTATAAAAAAATGTTACATGATTCGCGATTCCCAACAGTTACGTTCGGAAGTCGTATTTTTTTTTTCACTTAACCTATGCTCTGGGGGGGGGGGGATGGTTTCGGGGGGGGGCATGGGGGTCACAGCTGGGGTATAATTAAAATTGGCACGGACAATTGTCCCGACCTGTTTCTTCAGGATTAACCTATGCTCTGGGGGGGGGGGGATGGTTTCGGGGGGGGGCATGTGGGTCACAGCTGAGGTATAATTAAAATATGCACGGACAATTGTCCCGACCTGTTACGTCAGGCCTATGTTCCGTTTCAGTTTACAATCTTAAATAAAATACCGTTTAAAAGATGTTAAGGGTGACTACCTCCACGGCCAAGCAGTCCTGGTTTCAACCTTTTTCCGCGGATTAAAAATATTTCGCTTTTGACAGTTTGTGATTTACGGAGAGGGGGGTCGAGGATATATCGTTGTCTACCCTTTGAAAAGTCACTTGGTGCCGACAACTCCAATTACGGTAAATCCCTGCAAAGAATCCATGTTTTTTGTTGTTGTTTTTTTAGCCGCCCCGATTTAAACGGAACAATGTAGTGTTTCCTTACTTGTCACTTAACTCTACAAAGAGCTGGTGACGGCTTACTTGCATCCTCATTTTTAAATTATTTTTTTACACAGGCCATTTTGTCTGACCTGTTCCCGGGAGTGACCATCCCCGAGCACGACTACGGCCAGCTCAAAGAGGAGATCATCAATGCCCAGCAGGTGATGCAGCTCCAGGTGGTGGAGTCGCAGATCATCAAGGTCATCCAGTTTCTGGAGACGATGATCGTGCGTCACGGGGTCATGCTGGTCGGCCCGACGGGAGGCGGCAAGACGACCATTTACAAGGTGAATTTAAGGCCGAGGTGTCATTGGGGGCCTATGTGGCTGATAAACTCGTTGAATCACTTTACTGTAGTGTCACGGTCGGCAACCTGTGGCACCGGAATGAATTGAACCCCCACCTGCATTACAATAGTTCTTTTAATGCACATTTCTTACGGGACGCTTTCCACCCAATGCGGCTTTGTTTTAAGTTTAAGATTAAGAGTTTAAAAATCAATAAACTATCATTTTTTTCTCCATATTTGAGGGCCCACGATTAATTTATTCATCGTTTTTGGCTCCTGTCTTGAATTCAGAGTTTGCTTTCTCTTAGATGAGTTGCCGTTCAAGGCTAACGAGTCCCATCCACCCGAGGTGCTTGGGATGTTGGTTTTGGTTGGGATTGAACTCCAGACCACTAGCTATTTGGATTTAGTCAGTTTGGATTGCTCGGCCAACCAGAACTGATAGAATTTGCATGCAGTGGCGTAGCTAGGGTTAGTTACACCAGTGGATGGCAAATGTTTTTTGCTCTCCCCCCTCCCCATAAATAAACCAGGGATTCTCAACCAGGTGTCGACGCGTGAAACCCCATGCACAAGAAAACATTTCAAACTGTCTTCATTAAATAATAAAAATAAATATTTAAATAAATTTTAATGACTACCAAAGACAGTCAATGTTGCGTAACAGTTAATAACATTCTAAGAACCTTTGTATTGAGTGATTACTATTTTTTCCCCAACAGATTCTAGAGCGGACACTCACCAATCTGTACAACATGCAGGTTGAAAACGATTTTTATCAACCGGTCCACGTGTACGTGCTGAACCCTAAATCCATCACCATGGACGAACTGTACGGAGGGGTGGATAAGTTATCCATGGAGTGGAAGGACGGACTGATGGGCCTCACAGTCAGGTTCTGTGTCAATGTAAGCATTGTGTATGCAACACTTGAAGTCTACGGTAGCCATAAGAACACACTGTTTCTCTACTGTGCTTATGGCGAAGTCGAGCTGTTCCATTTTTCGGTTTTACAGCCAGTGCTGTAATCGTGAAAACAGCAGAAGGTGAGCTGTACAGAAGTCTTAAAAAGGCAGAGGGTGCGTTATACAAAAGTATTATAAACGCAGAAGGTGTCCTTTACAGTAATCTCAACAAGAAAGATTGTACGCTGTTCAGAAGCCTTGAAAAGGTAGAAGTTGCGCTGTACAGAGGACTTTTAAAAATCAGAAGGTATACGATTAAAAAGTATATTAAAACGTCAAAATACGTTTCAATAAAGCAGATGGTATAACGGTATGTTTGTTCGAAACAAATCGGAAGGTTTACGCCGTATGCCGGCTGTCGGCTGTCGGCTGTATACTCGCCGTAACAGCATTGTGGGGTAGCTGTGCTACATCTTACAAACCAGTGGCCTTTGAGATGAGCGCCAAGGCTCCTGGAGCTTGATGTAGCTAAAGTGTAGCTAAAGATTAACTCTAAAATCTACGTCTCATTTTGGAGGAAAGGGAGCGAGAAAACGTTCAGATGATTGAACTCTAGGTTCATATGGCTTGTTCATGAACGCTTTGAATTTTCCCGTTAAACCAGTTGGACTGACAGAAAGTACACTAACTTTAAAAACCATTTATCCCTGAAGACAAAATATCTTTGAATGAAAGCCATATATCTGTAAAAAACATCTATGTTTGAAAATCATCGGTCTTTGCAAACCATCTATCTTTGAAAACAATATCTTTTAGAACCATCTAAATTTGAAAACCATCTATCCTTGAAGACAATATATCTTTGAAAACCATCTATTTTTGCAAGAGTGAAAGAAAAAAAAACACACAAAACAAAAAAAACAAAACAAAAACACACACACGTTTATTCGTTTCATGACGCTAGTTTTTCCCTTCCGGCTAAGACTCCGTGACGTCCAATAAGTTCAAATCTACTTTCACTACGATTGCCTTCAGGACACGACCAAGGACCACCAGTGGATCATCTGCGACGGCCCCGTGGATGCTCTATGGATTGAAAACATGAACACGGTCCTGGACGACAACAAGATGCTGTGTCTGGCCAACAGCGAAAGGATCAAATTCACACCGTACATCCACATGGTGTTTGAGGTGCAAGACCTCGCCGTGGCGTCCCCGGCCACCGTCAGCAGGTACCCGGAAGTGGTCACGGTGGCCGTCTTTTGATATAATCATTATTTTTTTTGTTAAAGTCCCACAGCCACAGGTGTGCCCTGTCTTAGGGCGAACATTCGCACTTTGAGAATCATTGGTTCCGGCGCAGGCCGTATGGTAAGCACCAAGCTTCCATTCTGTGTTGATCCACTGTACAATGATGTGACGTCTTAGCTCTGCTCTGTTGGTAGAATTAACACAGCGACCTGACAAAAACCTTTCCGTGGGGAACAATACCTCCAACCAGTGGCGCAGCCAGGGTTGATATCACCTGGTGCGGTCCGCACCCCCCGAACCCCTCTTAGATGCGCCACTGCCTACAACTGTCTGTTTTCATGTCTGGCTAGAAATTGATATCTCCCCCCCTCTCTCTCCCTTCTCTCTATTTCTCACCATCTCTCTTCCTTTCTCACTCTCTCTCTCCTTTTCTCCCTCTCTCTCCATCTCTTTCCCTCTCCTTCCCTCTTTTTCTCTTTCCCTCTCTTTCAGTGTGTTTAAGTCTATTTGTCAGCCCGTCCCTTTAACTTCTTACTTGTTTTAGCCTACATGGCACAGGGCACATTTAAATATATGGCAAAGCGATCGAAATTGACATGGCTGAAATTTCCATGGCACATTTTCCCAAGAACGTTAAGTCTAATTTTTTTCTCTGAATATGACAGTGCTACGTTCCTTCCAACCCCCTTGATCCGCCATTGAAGTCTCCTCCCCGCTTTCCCCTTTTCCAGGTGTGGGATGGTCTACATCGATCCCGATGAGCTGAAGTGGATGCCGTACGTCCGTACCTGGATGGAGTCACTGTCCAAAAGAATGTCACCTGAAGCGGCCCCGTACCTACTGAAGCTGTTCGAGGCCTACGTGGAGGACGGGCTGCAGTTTGTAACCAAGAAATGTACACAAGCCATCCACCAGGTGAGGTATAGACCGCCCTTGGTCGTGGTTGAAATGTACCCAAGCCATCCACCAGTTGAGGTATGGACGGCCCCTGGTCGTGGTTGAAATGTACCCAAGCCATCCACCAGGTGACGTATGGACGGCCCCTGGTCGTGGTTGAAATGTACCCAAGCCATCCACCAGGGGAGGTACAGAAGGGGTCACTGGTCGTGGTAGAAATGTACACAAGCCATCCACCAGGTGAGGTATGGACGGCCCCTGGTCGTCATGGTTCGGTGTAGAGCGTTTCATACCAGCCACACTCGGCAATATCCTTTAACCAGCATTTTTCTGTTTAATGAAACACGACTGAAAACGGATGGTGGGGTAAAGAACTTACTAATGACATTGATTGTACTTGGGGAACCCACAAATACTTAATTTAATTGTACTGGAGTTCTGTGATTTCTAAAAAATTCCAGCCTTCAGATTAGTTGTGTGAACATTAGAAATTAATTACCGTAAACAAGACTTTTTTTACGCGGGAATTTTTTTTTTACACACGAGCATCACATTTTCCCACACTGGCATATAATTTGTACAGGGGCACATTCGTAAATGGGCACTGGCAACAAAAGCGCTGCAAAACAATTGAAGCGAACGTTCGACCCTGTTACTTTTCGAGATCCTATGGCGTCTCGTTCGCTATAACCAGCTTACAATCAGTGATTATTTCAGAATTTTTTCCCCGAGAGGGGGCACTTCAGATTTTTTCGGGGGGGGGGGGCGCAGTGTCAGTCGATTTATTGTTGGACATATTTTTGCTCCAGGGGGGGGGGGCAATTGGCTTTCCCCGGGGGAGCAATGCCCCCCCCCCCTGAGATATAGCTGAAAGAAATCCTGCTTACAATAAATAATCGTCACAGCCAGTGTCCAAAAACAAAGTGAGTTGACATTATCGCTAGCCGGTATCCGTTATCAACATTAACGATAATTCATCACCGTATTCGCAGGTCAACTCGCTTTAAATTACTCGTGGAAAAGGGGTATATATTACAGCCTGTCCTCACGATTTCAAAATTAAAAATAATCGATTCCAACCTATCAACGGCCAAATAAGAACATTTTTTTTTCAAATTTAATGTGCATCATTCCACTGTGTACAGGTGGACATCAGCAAGGTGGTCACGCTGTGCAAACTGCTGGAGTCCATTCTCTTTTACAAGTTCAGCTCCTTCGACTGGAGCCTGGAGCCCGTGAAGATGACCCGACTGCTGTGTCAGATCTTTGTGTTCGCGTACCTCTGGGCGGTCGGGGGCAACGTCACGGACGACAACTGGGACGCCCTCGACCTGTTCATCCGGCAGCAGTTCGACGAGAACCCGGATGCCAAGGTAAACGCGTGCGTTTAAAATTTAAAGACCGTGCTCGTTAGATCAAATCTTAGCCATAGGAACACATTAAAAAAAGAAAAACATCTTTTAGAAGAAAAAATCTTCATTTAAATTTGATGTTTTTTGCGTGTTTTTTTTAATGACTGCTAAAATCAGCTTTGCCTAAAAATCTAAAATAGATTTTCATGTTTAGGAATTGAGTGACGGTTAATGCGGAAAAATATGATTTTGTTTGTTTATAATACATGTTGTTGAGTTTTTAACAACTTGGAAATTTATGCAGCTGAACTGATGTTGAAAGAGAAGGGAGGAATTTTTAATTTTTTTTTTTTTAAGTTTGGGGGGGGGGAGGGGGGGGAGGAGGAGACGGACACATAGCGTAACTTTTTTAGGACGACACTTTAGGCGGGCACATACTAACTTATATGTCAAATGTATGA